GCAGAAGAAAGAACACATATTTGCTGAATTAGGTTTAAATGAGCAGAAATGAGCAAAGAAAATTATGAAATTTGCTAAAAAAAAAAAGAAAAAAAGCTGAAATTAGCAAAAAATAGTTGAAAAGTAACTGAAAAGGCAGAAAGAAGCTTAAACTACCAGAAGGAAGTAGATGAAATTAGCTATTAAAAAAAAGTGGAATTAGCTGAATAAGCTAAATTTAGCACAAAATAACTACAAAGTAGCTGAAATAGCAAAAAAATAAATAAATAAATAAACTGAAACTAGCAGAAATAAGCTGAAAGGAGCATAACAAGCTGAAATCAGCAGAAAGAAGTTGATTAGGCTGAAAGTAGCAGAAATTACCACAAAAAAAACTTGAATTTATCCGAGAACAGCTGAAATTAGTTAGAAAAATGCTAAGAGTAGCTGAAAATTTAAAATATGCTTAAATGAGCACAAGAAAGAAGAAATAACATGTTTGCTGAATGAAGCAGAAATGAGCACAAAAAAGTGAAAATTATCTGAAAAAGCTGAAATTAGCCACACAAAAACAAAAAAAAAAACAGCTGAAAAGTGGCTAAAAGCATAGAGGAGCTTAAATTACAAGTGGAGAGAGCACATTTTTTGCTGAATTAGGCTGAAAAAAGTTGAAATGCGTGCAAAAAATGTGGAATTGGTTGAAAAATATTAAATTAGCATAAAAAGAGCTATATAGTAGCTGAAACAGTAAATAACGTTGAAACTTGCAGAAATAAAATGAAAAGAGCACAACAAGCTGAAATTAACAGAAAGAAGTTATAAGCACAAAAATGTTGTAGTTAGCAGAAATAATTTGAACGGAGCTCAAAAGAGCTGAAAAACAGCTGAAATTAGCTGAAAACATTTTTACATTTACAGAAGGAAGCTGAAAGAAGCTGAAGCGGAACAAAATGTGAAAGGAGCAGTAAAAGGTTGTAAACACATCTAAAGATCTGAAGGATGTAAAATGAGCTCAAATCAGTTTCTATGAGAAAAAAATAACAGAAAAGGCTAAATATTTCAAAAAGCTAAAGTTGCACCAATACCAAAAGTCATAGCAGGATTGTTCTGAACGAGCTGAACGTTTTGATTTATGATTTGTTGAAATAGCACAGAAATTGCGAAACGAGAAAGATGCTGAAAAATGTTTGGAAGAAAAATGGATCACAATAGTGTGAACGCTTCATAAACATTCACACAATTACAAACGTCTGCTCTAAGTGACCAGGAAAGATCCTTATGGGAGAAAAAAGTTCTTACTTTAGAACATGATGGGATTATAATCCTAACCCAAAAACATCAGCTTGCTGTCACATGAACACGGTGTCAGTTATTTAGCTGAATGAGTTTCCAGCCTTTTATTTGACCAGTGTTTCCCCATTCATTATCCCCGGGGGGGGGGGGGGGGGGGCTCACCGGGGGCTCACCCCTTTGTCCAGACCAGCTGTTAGGCCTGTCACGATAACAAATTTTGCTGGGCTATTAATTGTCTCTGAAATTATTGCGATAAACGATAATATTGTTTGAAATTTGACAATAATGAGTAATTATTGTCAAATTTAAGAAGAAATGTTAATTTGTTTTGAGTGTAGTACCTCTTTTTGACCACTGGATGGCAGTATAAGACTGAACTGAAGGATGGATAGTGAGGGGAGCAAGCAGTGTCTCTTTAAGAAAAATGGGAGGGAGGCCCCTTGACGTGACATGGGCTGTCTCTCCTTCCTGTTTTTTGGTTCTCAAAAAGGCGGACGCTCCGTGTGGATTGAGCTCTTTAGCGTAGCATTTTTCACATCAACCTTTTAATTAAAAAAAATCAGTGAACAAGTTCTCAGCTTCTTTTGCTTGAACGTTCTCAACAGTGAAGCACGGGGGTGGCAGCATCATGATGTGTGTGTGTGTGTGTG